TTATCTTTTTGTTGTTAGCACTACTCACATTTAATTGGTTATTTTTATTATTTACATTCCTTTCTCATGGTCAGGACTGGCACCTCTAAGATCTATACGGCCCCTGCTTTTCTTCAGGGGAAAGGCCTCAGGGTGTCTAAATCAAATTCTTCTTCTTCTTCTGCATCCTTCAAAAGGGGCACGGCGGACTCGCCGCCTACCCTGACAGTATGGTTCAGCAATTGTTTCATGGTTTGTTTAAACATGGTAAGTTTTCCTAAATAACAAGGACCTCCTACAGGATTGCTGGGTATTCCTGGCCATGCTCTGTCTCCACATATCAAAAACATACCTTTAGGCAATGCCAGACCAACAGTGTTGTTTCCCCACACATCACTGTATCGGCATTCAAGTGGGCAATAGTCTGTGAGTTGAGTCCCTTTATAAGGTGCCAAATTAGGAGAAACAGTTTGTACTAAATGTAATCGAGTTAATCCATTCAGAAGTTTATCAGCTATTTCCTTGTTTCCTTTGAACATTACAGCACCAAATTTTGGCGCTAAGGATCCTAATAGATTTAATTCTTGGGGTTCTATGACTGTTTTATTCAGGGCCATTATGATTTGTCCTTGCCACCACGCAGTATAGTTAACGCCAGGGTGACGAGCCTGTGCATTATGATTAACTTGGGTGTCATTCCATGTTATCACTGTCTTATTGTTCACAAAACCTTTAAACCATTCGGGTGCAAAAGTCGGTACTCCTATTAAACAAGTTCTAAAGGGGTCTCCAGGGGTGGCCATAGATAGACAGCATGATTCCTGTCCTGTTTCATTTGCAATGGTTATCCATATGTTGCCTCTGGGTTCTATTTGAATCAGTTGTGCCTGAATGAGACATATCCATGTCCCTATGACTGCCAGGGATAACCATGTGGCTGTCTCCTTCTCCATAATGTCTTTTCACGCTCCCACCGATGATCGTGTTCTGTGTGACACCAAGGTACCACAATATGCTGTCCTCACTCAAGCTTTCCTACTTTGGCTTGCTGCAATAACTGTCACCTAAGGGTTTCAGTAATTATGCTAAAAATATAGATTAACTGTATGAGCTCCTCTAAACTTCCAATTAAATCAATTAAATCCTGTATTTCTCCTTGCCAGCCTAAAGCATCTCGGGCCCATCTACTATGGGTCCAACATCTATAGAAATTACCAAAGCATACTAAGCATGTTAAGTTGGAGCTTCCTTCTTGCTTTCTAACAACTCTCCATGTACGACATCTGCAGTTATGACAATCTACTCGTATCCATGGTCTGCATGTGTACCCGTGTTCTGGGCACAGTGACATGGCTCTCTGATCTAGCTGCCACACTTTAAGAACACTGCGTATGCTATGCAGTCCTGAAGCTGAACTGAATAAAAGTATTGGGAAAAGCTGTCGCCGACTCAATGCGTTACGCCATGTCGTTGTTCTTCCGCCAAGTGTAGCACACGGGCACAGGCTTCTATCATTTGTACAAGAGAAGTATTCTTGGGTAAGGAAACCAGTCTGTGCTGGCAATTTTTGTTAGCACTGAGCAGGGCTAAATCGAGTCCGACAGATCTTCCGACATCAGGAGTCAGATGTGGAGCTCTTTCAATAGCCTTTTGCAGACGATCAGTAAACTCCATATACGGTTCGTCTTCTCTGTGCTTTACCTCTGTATATGGAGGAACAGGTTGTTCCACTTGAGGCAGCTCTTTTATAACCTCTAAGGCCAGCTGTTGAGCCTGCTGCAGTATTTGAGGTTGTAAAGCTGCTTGTACTTGTGGTGTTGAAAATGGTCCTGTACCTAAAAGCTGCTTGACTGTAGCAACCAATAAGGGGTCACCGACTCCCCTTTCAGGATTTTTAACCTGTTGTCCCTCTACCTTTTAACGCCATCTGTCTTTAAACAGCAATTGCAGGGTAGGTGGAAAAAACATTTCCACCATGAGTCTGATATCAGATTGAGTTAACACTTGGTGTTTAAACACTTGCTCCAGCATATTTTGAACATAAGGATTATGTTCACCGTAGTCCATCACAGCTCAATGTGTATCTTTCATCATTTTCCAATCAAGAGGGACCCAAGTTCTTCTGCCTTGCTGGTTAGTAGTCACTGGCATGGACGTGATAGATTCTGGGAGAAACACTCCTTCAATTTGTGCATTTTCAAATACTCCTCTCCACCTTTGCCTGAGTGAAAAATCTGGGTCTGACGGAGGTGGTGGCAGTGGTGCAGGTGAGGTGCTAGGCTGGGGTCTCTCCTTCTGAATTGCCACTGGCGTGCTGTAGCTACCCGGTGGATCTGTTAGCCCGCACATTCCCCAACACCAATCTACCTTGGGGTCAGAGGGCGTAGGATATTTTTCTAACAATTCTTGATCCTCTGGTTATTTACTTAACACTTGCCGATATGCCTGCTCCTTTGTCAATGTTCCGTCCTCAATACACATATCCATCCAACGTACTGCCCACTTTTTTCTCACTTCCTTATCTTGCTCTGACAGATTCCGAGCTGTGTCTGCAGAGACGGCAATTTCTTGTCTTGCACTGCCATCTAGCAGCAGCTTGCTTACAATATCAGCCAGAGCGTCTAACGCTGAAGTAATAGTTTTAGACTTGCGATCATACGCCTTTCATACTGACACTTTGCTGTTTTACCCTCCATCTAAGTTCTTCATAGAGTCTAGCATTTCTTGTAACTTCTCATTATGATGCCTTATCTCATCTTTCAGATCATTATCATGAGGATCTGGATATAACTGCGATTGAGCTTCCTGGGTTCCTCTTAAATCATTATCTATATCCATACTCTCATCTGCTGGGAAAGGTACATCTCCTACATAAGACGTGCTATCCAGTAGCACAGAGGGGACGACAGAAGAGCCCCCCACCCAAAAGTCCCGTTCTCCATCTTCCACAGGCATAGAAACAAGTCCTGGTTTTCCTTCCTCTACAGTTTTCTCTATTTTTAATACCTTTCGCACTGCATCAGCCACCAGAGCCTCTCCATGAGCCCTTGATATTACATCAACACAAGCCTTCCAAGTCGTAGCTAACTTGGAAGCAGTTTTATCTCCTGTGGACACAGATTCCCACAGCTCCTGACCGAAAGCTTTCCATATATCTTGATCAAAGTCATTCTGTGGGTCTTTAAAGAATCCTCTGCATTTTCCTAACGATAACAACTCCTCCACTTCCTTCACTTTCCCCTCAACTTCGACCTTTTTTGCTAAATATAGCATACATTTGAACGTCGCTCGCTCAGCTGTGGATTCTGCATTTCCCATGCTGTCTGCTGAATATTTTTGCAAGCTTGCACACTCACCGCCTCTCTCTCTAGGCGCAACCTCTCTAGGCTTCCTGACGCTGCATTCTGCAGTTCCGTCAGCCAGCAGACACCTCACCTTTTCTTCCTGGCAGCAGTCTTTTGATCCGAATATGTGCCGTCAATCCTGGCCTCCTGTGTAATCGAACTCTGTCAGGAGCGGACCAGAAGAGGCCTACAGAGAGTGGAGAGAGATGCAAAAGAAATGGAAGGAAGGCTTAGAGATCTCTCTAGAAGACTTCTAGCAACTTCAACTGTGCAGAACTGCTTGGGAACCAGCTACAAGGCCGCAGCCTTGCAGCTTCAGCAGATTCCCCTGTCCGTGCACCCAGAACAGTCCTTCCATTATTCCCCTAGCTCTCCCTGCCCCCTAAGTGACCTGACATATCCCTTTAGCCTATCCCTCCAAGTTCCCATATCAGTAGCTCTCAGGATTTGATGATCCTAGCTGGGGTCCCACCTTATTCCCGAACTTTCTGTATTCCCCTGTATAAAAGCTGTCTTCTTGTTTCAATAAACGCCATTTTGTGGGTCATCTTCTGCGTGACTTGTCTCCCATACAAAATGTGCCACTGGGTCTTGTCGCGGGACCCCCGTAACCCGCAATAGAACTCCATTCCTCACACGAAATTCCTCACACGGGGCACCAGATGTTGTCTCATGCGAGCCTCAAGGGAAACTTCACACACACCAATATGATGTTTTAGAAGCTCCCACTTTATTGCAAATTATACTTTCTTTTATACAGTTTAATAATTACCATATATAGAATCATAGAATTATAGAATTGATTGGGTTGGAAAAGAGATGATGGAGAGCGGCTTGGCAAGCTCTTCTGCCAGCTCCCTCATTACCCTAGGATGGATCCCATCTGGTCCCATTGACTTGTGAGGATCCAGATGACTCAGTAAGTCACTGACTATTTCCTCCTGGAATACAAGGGGGCTATTTGGTTTCCTATCTCTGTATACCAGCTCCAGAGGCCAGTTGCCTTGAAGGCCACCTGTCTTACTGGTAAAAACTGAGGCAAAGTAGGTGTTAAGTACCTCAGCCTTCTCTTCATCTCTATTAACTATGTTTCCCTCCAAGTCCATCAAAGAATGGAGGTTTTCTTTGCTCCTCCTTCTGTTATTAATGTATTTATAGAAGGACTTTTTGTTATCCCTAACAGAAGTTGCCAATTTAACTTCAAATTGCACTTTTGCATCCCTGATTTTCTTTCTGCATGATCTAGCTGTTTTCCTGAATTCTTCGTAAGTAGTCAGCCCTTTCTTCCATAGCTGGTAAACTCTCTTTTTATCCCTGATTTCCTTCAGAATCTCCCTGTTTAACCAAGCTGGTTGTCTTCCCCGCTGGCTTGCCTTTTGGCACACTGGTACAGCCTGTTCCTGTGCTCTCAAAACTTCTGCTTGAAGCACATCCATCCCTCCTGAACCCCCTTGTTTTCAAGGGTTGTTTCCCAGGGTATGCTCCGGACTAGACTTCTGAATATGTCAAAATCTGCCCTCCGAAAGTCCAGCGTAGAGTTTTTATTGTTGGCTCGCCTTGAATCTCTGAGTATTGAAAATTCTATTATTTCGTGGTCACTATTTCCCAGGTGGCCTTCAACCACTACATCTCCCACCACCCCCTCTCTGTTTGTAAACAGCAGGTCTAGCGGGGCCTTACCCCTGGTAGGTTCATTTGCCAGTTGATGAAGGAAATTGTCCTCTATACACTCCAGAAAATTCCTAGACTGCCTCTTCTCTGCAGTATTGAGCTCCCAGTAGATATCCGGCACCCACAAGGACAAGGGCTGACGATTTCGAGACATCCACCAGCTGCTTGTAGAATGATTCATCCCCTTCGTCAACCTGGTAGGGCGGTCTGTAACAGACACCCATGATGATGTCGGCCTTGTTGGTCTTCCCCCTGATTCTGACCCACAGGCACTCAACCTTATCGTTGCTGACCTCAAGTTCAACAGAGTCAAGAGACTCTCTAACATATAAAGCCACCCCTCCACCTCTCTTACCCTGCCTGTTCTTTCTGACGAGCTTGTAGCCTTCCATAGCAGCACTCCAGTCATGCGAGTCATCCCACCACGTTTCTGTGATGGTAACTACATCATAG